GGTATGAGAGAGTCAAAAAGGCTTGTGGGTTTAGGAGAATCAATAAATGCTGAGATTTTTTTTTTAAATTAAAAATTTAGAAAATATAAGATTGGGGATATTAGAAACTCCCACAAGACATATGAGTTAAGAAACCCTTTTTCTTTATATAATATACTTAGCCTATCATCCGTGCTAATGCACGGGATAATTATAGATATTTATATTTGTTTTAGATTTTTTTAATTATAATTATGTTTTTTAAGATTTTTTATAAAAATAATTAACAATTCTATCACTAACCATAGTGTATGAGAGAAGTTTGAAAAAGGTACTGCAGTTAACTAACACGGATTAATATCTATAATTATTGTATGAGGGGGATTTTAAATACTGATCAAAGGAATTTTGACCAAATCGATAAATGCATGGCATGTGAAAAGACATGTGGGTTTGAAAAAAGTAATAAATGCCATCAGGGAATTTTGACCAAATCAATAAATTGCTGAGTTTTTTTTTTAATAAAAAATTTAGAAAAATTCAGATTGGATATTGAAACTCCTACAAGCATTGGGGGTTAAAAACCCCCTTTGCTTAATATATTATATAGATGATGATAGATAGATAGATTTAATAAAGAATTTATGTTGTTTAAATATTTTTTTTAATATACAAATTATTTTTTTTTTAAAGATTTTTTTATAAAAAATAATTTAACAAATCTCATTACTAGTCATAGTATATGAGAGAAGTTGAAATGGATTTAGGAGTAAAATATGAGAGAACGTCAAAAAGTGGAGGTTTAAGAAGATCAATAATGCTGGTTTTTTTTTTTTAAAAAAAAATTTTAGAAAATTTTAAGATTGGGGATATTGAAAGCTCCACAAGGCTTTGTAGTGTTAAACTACATTTTCCTTTATAGACAGATATAGATAGATGATATAGATATAGATATAGATATAATATGCACATACCATTTATATCAAGGACCAATAAGTACCAAGGACAACTTCCTGTAATTTTCCCTCATCTAAATTAAAGGGAATTAAAAAGAAAAAAAAAAATAATAATATTTAAAAATGTTCACTAAAAAATATAGATTAAAATTACCAAATTAATTATTGAAAACTCCATACTAAACAAAGGTAATTTTTCTTATTAATTTTGAAAATTAAAAAATTATTATTAATTTTTTCTCTTATTTTTTTTTCTCACAAAAAATAGCTACATTAATATCTTTTTTTTTCTTTTTTCTTTTTTTTCTTTTTTTCTTATTATTAATTTTTTTGACTTGCGATTTTTCTAAATGAGTGTTCTAGACGGAAAGGGTACAGTTGGTTCAGATAATAAGAAAAAGTGCTTATGCAAGAGGTGCCTTTACTATGAGAAAGAATAGTCGGTTTTGCATAGGGTGCCTTATTGGATAATAGTTTCAATACTGGCCTGCATGAAGGGCTTAAGTGTGAAACATATAAGAGGGGCTTTAGTGCGAAATAGAAGAAATGGTTTACAGAGTGTCTTCTTGCTTCACGACTTCAATACTTGTTGGGAAAGGAGTAGGCTCAAGTGCGAGAGCGAAATGAGGGTTTGTAGGAAGTGTCTTCTTGGGTCACGACTTGAGTGTCCGTGCACATGAAAATGAGTGATAAAGGTCAAGAATGTGTCTCTTGGGGTCACGGTTTCAGTGCTCCGAAACACAAAACCATAGCATATTAATAAAGGAGAAATAATTAGTGATAAAATATTTTTGCCTACCTTAAATACAAAGACAATGAATTTATTATGATGACGAAATATTATTGTCTTCCACAACATAACCTTATGAGACAAAAAATATATTCGTCGCGCAATCAATCAGAATTTATTAGTGAGAATAATATTTTCATCTCCCACAACTTATCTTCCAAGACAAAAATATATTTTGCGTCCCATTTAATAGAAAGATGAAAACGCCATCGTTTGCATGATGGAGTGTTTATTGTGACGAAATATTTTCGTCTTCCATAACTTATCATTCTTAGACAAAAATATATTTGTCGCCTAATAAATGGAAATATGCAACGACATCGTTTAATAGGTAAGGAATTTATTGGTGACCGAATTATGTTCGTTGCAAATATATATATATATATATATATTGTGACAAAATGTTCGTCTCTAATGAGCTAAAATAATTCGCACCAATACAAACGAAATTGGCGGCTGAATTTTGCAGACAAATTTTTTTTTCGTCTCCTATACGTTTGAGAAAAATTAAAAACAAACGAAAAAATTAATTTTTTGTCATTTTTAGGTTAATTTAAGACAAAAAAAAATTTCGTCACCAAATTTCGTCACAATACCTAAATTTCTTGTTTTGTTTCCTTGTTTAATTTATTATTATTATTATTATTATTATTTTCTTTTGTGGAGTGGGGTTTACTGTGAGAAAGAATAGTAGCTTTGCACAAAATGTCTTCTTAGATAATAATGTTTGCATGCGCAAACGGCCTTAAATGTGAGAGAGAATAGAGGAGCTTTAGTGCGAAATAGAAGAGCGGTTTATAGAGATTGTTTTCTCGAGTCACGGCTTCAATACTTGTGAAAGAGGAGACTCAAGTGCGAAGAGATATATAAAATCATATAAAATTATAATATAATTAAATCGACTAACAAAATATAATATTTAGGTACTAATTACCCGCTATCCTACTTCTTAAATATGCCTGTGTCCTATGCTCCAATGATGATTTTATTTATTTATAAACCATTGCTCTGATACCATTTGTCACGACCTGCTCCCCGTACCCAAGGGTTAAGCATCGTGCCACTAGATAGTGGCAAAATCATCTTTCCTAAAAGCCCACGTGAGGGTGGCAAAATCCGCATTTTAGCCTACTTGCGAGTAGCAAACCAATTTCAAAACAAACATAAAAATGTTTTATTCCAATTTGGGCGATTTGGTCTATACTTGTTTGCTGCGCGCATAACATAGTAATTCTAGGCTAACAATTGGTTTAAGAACACATAAAGTTTTCAAAAACGGGTATCACGGTTAGTAGAGGCCGGTCTTCGGACCGGGCGAAAGGGGGTGCTCATAGCTGACCTTCCCCGATCGTACCCAAGCTCCCGAGCCGAGACAACTCCGGTGATGACGGACATGTGGCCTTCGGCACCGAGTCAGGGTTTCCTAAATTCTCCCATAAAAAATATTTAGGTGGCGACTCTGTATCTGGCAAAGCAGTCCATGTTTGGCACTTCTTTTCAAAAGATCTGTTTCTCAAAACAATTTGCCAGATTTGGACTCTTTGGTTCAGATTAAGAACCGTGACACAAATCGAGTCCGAACTGTAGCGAGGGTCCCTCGCGAGCTTGTTACAGTATGGTTTGATAGAACTTTACCCAATGCCTTTTAAAAATAGGCATATGCCCTCTGTGATTTTGCACTAAAATGCAATTGTTAATATCGTTGATCATAGATGTAAAATGACTATAATACCCTCAAATCTTATATATATATATATATTTTTAAATTTTCTTTCTCTCATCTCTCATACACATAATTTATAATGTCTAGTATTAATTCAATTAAATCACAATTAATTATAAATTCTTAATTATTTATTGTAATTCTTAAAATTTTATTCTAATTTTAATTTAATTATATTTTGGATCACAATTAATCCTAAATATTTAACTATTTATTGTAATTGCTAACCTTTTAAATTAATTTTAATTTAATTATATTTTATATTTTATATCAATTCTTAGTTATATTTTAATTTAGTTTAATTAGCATATTAATATAATTTTATGTTTAGAGAAAATGGGGGTAAAATTATCTTTTTGTTGTATTAATTTCATTCTAATTTTTCAGAAAACAAAATCCACTTTAAAAAATAGTGTGTGTAATACACATTTCACTAGTTTGGATGAAAAAACTAACGGTAGCACTTTAATGTAAAACCACATGGGACCTTTCGAATTATATTTGAACCATAGAGAGGTAAAGTGCTCTAACCCTAAATCACAAGGGGTAAAGTGACTTTAACCTTTTTAGAAAAACACTTGTTGTCCACAAATACAATAAATTGAATAGATTACGATTATCAGATGAACTGAATTTTGTGTGTGGATAATATAAAGAATTGGTTCAATAAAATAAATGACTTAAATCATTAAAATAAAATCTGTAATGAACTCTATGCACTTGAACAATATCCTCTAATTCAGATTATGGATTGAAGTAGAGCCATGTCCTTTATCACTACAAGAAATAACACTTTTGCCGACCAAAAAATTGGTCGCTAAAAGCCCATTTTTGGTCGGCAAAAGTTATCCACGACTAATTTTTTTGGTTGCTACTTTGGTCGCCAATTAAGGGTCGGCAAAAGTAATTTGCGACCAAAATTTTTGTTGGTCGGGAAAAGTTGGCTTTGCCGACTAAATTTTTGGTCGCTAAATATATCATTACTGCGACTAATCCATTTTGTCGGTAAAACACTTTGGTTGCAAAAAGTGATATTTTCCAAACCAAATATCTTAGTCGCCAATTGTCACATTCCACGACCAAACTGATTAGTCGTCAAAATTCGAGGAATCGCCAACTAATAATTTAGTCGCCAGAAGGTAAGGAATTGCCGACCAATGATTTTGGTCGCAAAAGTGTAGAATTTGCCGACCAATTTTTTAGTTGCCAAATCTCTTTTTCTTCTTGTTGTTGTTGTTGTTATTGTTGTTGAGAAGAATCAATTTTTGTTTATAAATATTCAATCCAATATCGAACAAAATTCATTTAACCCAACCACAATTAAGGAACAATAACATTTAAAGAAGAAAAAGCTTAGGAACAATAATTAACAAATTCCTTTCTTGTAACTTCACTAAATCATCAAACTATAATTGAATTCCATTTAAAATAAAGATGAAAATATGTAACCGTAGTGCAACACAGGGCATATTCAAGTCAAATTAAATTTAATAAGTATGTATTCTCAAAAGCTATATCCTCTTTGAAGTCCGACATGACACAAAACTGAAATTCAAAATAGTTGAGTTTTGGATGTGTGAGGGGAAAAAAAAAGAGTAAAAATGATGGCACTTGCTTGGTCCTCCAAGTTATTTTCAATTCTTTGTTTCCATGTTGAGACACGAGTAGCCAACTCAGTCTGTTTCTCAGTTTCAGCAATGCTAGCAAGGAGAGCATCCTACATTCAGGAACACAGGTTACAAACAAATTACTGCTCCAACAATAATCAAACAAAAGGTAGTAGACAAATTATGCAATATAACAATCAATTTTCATCACATCACATATCAGAGAAATCTAATCTTACTAGGTGAGATCGACAAAGATCTTCTAGGCTGGCTTGAGAACTTGGATCTTCATGTTCATTGGTTTCAAAACAAACACCACCATCATCATGCTGCATAAATATCAACAAATGAGCAATGCAACATAAATGTCGATTTTGTTATTGCCAGCTTCGTGATGTAAATATATCTGAATATACTAGAGGTCTGCCTAACCTTTTCAGGCTGCAGAGGTACTTCTTCATACTCGTATGCATTCTCTGGCATGTCAAAATCAGATGGACCAAAATCAAAGCCTCCATTATCATAATCATTGTCTTCATTGGGATCACAAAATGATTCACAAGTTTTACGTCCTTCATGAATAAGTGAATTTCTCAATTGTAAATAAAACATTAGGCATCATTGAGTGAAGCCAAATATCTCTACACTATGTAAAACAAATTGTGTACGTGGCACGCCAACACTTTTATATACGACTTTGTCTTGCAAAGTACCACCCAATCCAATTTTCAAGGGAGAGAATGCTGCAATGCAATCAAAGTTGTAACTTATTTTCAATGCCAAGAAAATGCAATTATTTAGAAGACAATATTCTCATAATATGTTCTTTATTTTACTAACAACCATCTTTACCAAAAGTCAGTTTTATTGAAAATGATCTCTACGAACATTTTAATAGAGAATGAGAATATTAATGATGCCATTGGTAATTGCAGGTATTGTTATGATTTTGTACACAACATGCTGTGAGATGAACCGGTAATGGAAAACAACTTGCTAGCAAGAGGGGAGTATGATTCCACCTAATAGGTAAGACATATTTTCTCTTTATAAAGGGCACTAAAATCATTTCATTTCTATATATTTTTAGCAATTGGACCTTCCTTTATGGTTTTTGATTTAGCTTATAGCCATATTTTGGTGAATTTCAAAATGTGTTTTGTAGAAGACTACAGAATTTGATCTAAGCATTGGTTTTTCTGTATTGCGAAAATGATGAATTTGTATTTTCTATTTACAAATTCAATATTTTGCCTACGTATCAAATAGATTGTGACCTACTATTCAAATTGTTTACCTCTTCCATGCTGAACAATCATACTGGAAATTCAATCTCGAAGTCAGAGCTGTTTATCATAAACTAGTCTGAGAAAGAAGAGAGATTTCATGTGCATAATAAATACAGTGTTCGTTGATAAAAATAATTATGAAGTGGCATCAAGTGGTCAATGGTCATGAGTGATATGTTTATCGCTAAGAAACCATGAAAATAAAAAAAGATGGAGTAAGTTACATGAGTACATGAATGTTTCTAGTTAGTTATTTATATGTTCTTTATTTTTGCTTTAATATAACCAATACAAATTAAATCCATTGATACAACCAATACAAATTAAACTAAAGACTGTATGACTTAGCTGACTCCAATTAGAATTAATAAATGGCTAAACTTTATTATGTGGGTAACCAAAACAACATGCATGCATTGCCTTGGAATCAAGGAACCAAATGCCTTAAATAGTGGGATACTCTTCAATTCAAGCACCAAATCATTTTAATGAGAAAAACAGAAATTAAGGAAGCAACAAGCTATCTGATAATCTTTAGCTCCAACCATAACCAAAAAATAATCCATAAAAGAAGATGCATTGCCTTCACCAAACAATGATTTGCCTCAAAATAGAAAAAAGCCAATTGCAGTTCTAATTTCTAAAAATAAGTAGTAAAAAGTCATCACATAAGCTAGTATTATTGTGCTCATATTGATGAATAATAGAACAATACCACAAATTTTTTTTTTAATAAAAAACCACTAAAAAAGCCAACTCCCAAACACGCTCTTTGTGTGGTTGCTTGTGTTAAGATGGTTGTCAGTCTCATCTTGATTCTTATTTAATGCTTAATAGCATACCTGCTTAAAATTCATATTAGTGAGTTCAAAACTGTTTCTTCTTTCTATTTTATTGTATGTTTGAGTTTTAATGACATCAATTTTCTGTCCTATTAACGTTAAATTTTTGTTTGCTATTTTCTTTGAGTTCCCCTGTTATGTAGTAGGCTTCATACTTTAATTTTGCAACATATTAAAATAGCCAAAAAGTCATTGCAAAAAAATCAACTATTCTCTTTCCTTTTCCGTAGGTCTTTTCGTAAAATGCTAAAAAGCTAATTAAAATAATCAATTCCCAAAACAACTTTACATAATCCATTAAAATTATGATGGAGCGGAACAGTTCATGTTTTGTTTGACATGTAGAGTAGTACAGAAGTTAAGAGAAACAAACTATAGAAACCTATCAATATTTCATTTTTTATATAAATAAAATTGTGTAAGTGGAACAGCTCAAGATCAAAAGATGGAACCCAATCTTCACCTCTTCCTACAATCAGAACTATGTCAAAGTTGATTGCTAGATAAATTTGAGTAAAAGTTGATCTAAAAATAGAACCATTTCACTTAGAACTCACTACAACAAAAAGCATTTTTGGCGACGTTTTTTAGCAACCAAATTGAATTTAGCTACCAATTGTATGTTTTTGGCGACAATATACGTTTTGGTCGCCAAAAAATACACTATTAGCAACAAATATCTCAATTGGTCGCCAAAAATGGTTGGCGCCAATTTAATTTTTTGCGCGGGAGCGCTAAAAATGTTTTGGCGACCAAATTAATATATGGCGACGAAATTGTTTGTCGCCAATTGTGACTTTTTGGCGACGAAATTAAAATAGTCGCTGAAAGGTAATGATATTTATGGCAACATAATGATTTTCGTCGCCAATAAATATTTTGTCAAAACGACGTCGTTTTGAAGCTGTCTTTTTTTTTTTTTTTTAATGACCTTTATGTGAATAAAGAAGATTGACCTAATATTCATCTCATTCTACAGCCTGAAACGGCACAGCAGAAGACAAAGAGGTATGTCTTCTCTCCTTCTTCTTCATCTCTCTCTCCCTCTTCTCGTCTCTCTCTCCTTCTCCCTCTCACTCTCACTCTCACTCTCTCACACTGTCTCATCTTCCTCTCTTTCTTCTTTATCATCAATTTCATTCTCTTGTTCGGCATGGCAGAACACAACACAACATTGATATTGGGACTGATTTTTCCCTCACTCTCTCACAATCTCTCATCTTCATCTTTTTCTTCTTTGTCATCAACCTAATTTTTTAGACTGATATTCTGATTTTTCGGACTGATATTGTGATTTTCGGGACTGGTATATTCTGAATTTCGGACTGATTTTGGAACTGATTTTTGGATTTTGGGACTGATATTCTGATTTTGTATTTTTTGGGGACTGATATTTTAATTTTGGGACTGATTTTGGGGCTGATAATTTGATTTTGGGACTGATTTTGGCGTCGCATTTTCAAAAAGTGGAGCAGCAGAGGTATTCTATGCAAGTGAAACAGGAAAATGGATATGTATATGTTTCTCTATTTGAGTACTCTGTTGCTTTTTTGTTTTTCTTTCTTTTCAATTGAACACTTCAGTAGTTGAGGGTGTTAGATTATTTCACAGTATGTAAAGCGGGAATGATTTGGGACACTATTTTCATGAGGGCAATGCACGATCTCAAAGCTGCTGAGATAGTGCTATTTTGGAAATGGTATGGCTACAGAGGTTGAGCCTAATGAGGTGAGGTACAATGTTTTAGAAATTGAACAAATTTGATGTCATGTTACAAAGTTTTGATGCTTAGTTAGGAGATATCTTTCCCTTGAAGGGTCTTTTGAGGCACTAATCTCCAACGAAGGAGGCTTTTTTGGCATGATCCGTGGCACATGGCAAGAGCTTAAGAATGGATTATTTGATAAGAATAGGAAATATATTTCCCCAACTTCTGTTGTATGATCAAAGAGGCATGGAGTCAGTGGATTATCTTCTCATCCACTGTAGGGTGGCTAGGCTGGTATGGTTTTTGTAATGAGATTGATTCTCTTTCCTTGGGTTTACTGAAATACTATTTTAGACTTCCTCAAATACTCTGGGAAATATTGGATCACGTTTGCCTTGTTTATGTTGGTATGCAAATAAAATAAATTAGGTGAAGATAAAGAACTGATATGTAGATTAAGAAGAGTTTTTTTATTATTATTATTCTTTTACGTGGTTGGGTCATGGAGAGCTTTTTTGATTTTGTAATAACAAGGATACATTGGTATGGATTTTTATTATTTTTATTTTCTATAAGTTGTGTATACTTGGGACAACATCTCCTTTTGGTGCCTTCAATAATGAAGTGGCTTGTAAAATAAAGAAAAAATGTTCATGTCAGATCATAGGTCTATATCCAACCAAGTCTGACTTGCAACCTTAATTTTTAATTAAGGACTTTATTGTAATAGTGAGTTTAATTCTCTTTGTTGCATTTTGTTTAATGGATCATGTGTAATATTTAGGTGAACTTGTGTTGGTATACTAAGTTTTTGCCAAGAAATTGATTGTTTTTCTTCTTAGGATATTGGGGTATGTATCTCATTGGTTTCCAATTGGGCAGCTATCTGTTTTTTGGTAACTCTGACCAAGTGTTGAGATCCAATAAATGAGCAATGATTCTATCTCTTTTGTTGTGGTATATATCTTTATCATTGGAGTCTTTGTCATCTCATTATCTTTTGCTGTCATGTTAATTGATCTTTATTTTTATTTTTTCTAAATGAGACATGTTATTAACTATGCTTCTGGACAGGGATGTGGAAATAGTTTCACGCAGAATGGTAGGGCATATTGCTCTGTTTACTTTTGTAATAAATGGACCATTTTTTTGAGAACGATGTTATTCTTTGGAAGAAAAGAAGAAAAACTTATTCAAAACCTCCCCCCTCCCCAAAAAAAAAAAAGAAAAGAAGAAAAACTCAATTCTCATTTATAAATATAAAATTTTATTAAAACTAATAGACAATTCTATTGCAGTGCAATGCAATGCAGCTTATGTTACTTTTGTATTAGCTCAAAATCTCCAGGTTATTCTCATTTTTTCTTTCTGCCAATAACTTCTCAAATATGATGGTTTTATCTGTTCTGCAACTTGTTGAGAAACAAGCATATTTGATGGTTTTGCCTTTGTTGACTTGTATATCCGGTGTCAACGATTCATTGTGTTTGTTTGTTTATCTAGAAGCTAATTTGACTGATTGGGATTGCTTTCCTTTGCGTGTTAGTAGCCTTTTGGTTTTTATATTTGAATATATGTTGAATTAATCATTGAAATAAAATTCTTATGAAGTAATAAACCTTAGAATTATTATTTTTAATTAGTTTTTTGGTGAAAGTTTAATGCCCTAAACCTCTCTATTATAAATTTATAGATTTTATTTATAGAAGTCAATGTTTAGGTGAGAAGCAATAAGGCTTTATGATGCTGGACAACCGGCGAGAATAGAACAACTAAAAGAAAATAAAAGAAAGGCCATACAAAATAAAAGAAGGAAAAAGATTGAGATCTACAATTTACCCACAATGATTGGCTAGTTATGTGTCAATTTTTCAATGAATAAACAAGTCCCAAATTATGCTATGAAATTCGTCCGTGGGATATTAACCAAGTATGTCCATTTTGATTTTCTATACTTTGAGTTCTAGCTATTAAAATATCTTTTCATTTTCCAAGTCTGTTACATGTAAGTTGAAATGCCGACCGTTTGCTCGCTTATGGTGGGATGAATTTGTATCAACAGTAGGGACAAGAGCAGAACCTCACAAACGGGTTTTAACACTTACTCTCTTTCTCGAGCATTGTATAATTAATCTCTTGATCAAAAAATCGACCAACTTGAGATTTAAATTATTTTGTTTTTGTAGGCTATGCTTCATCTGGAGCAAGACTGGGTATTGACAGTCCGTGAAAACGCAAGGTTACAAGGGTTCCCTGACTAGTACAAATTTTGGGGGCCTGTTAAGGAAAGGTATCAATAGCAAGTCTTTTTTACTTTTTGCAAGTTTAATTAATTCAGACACAAGAATTGCTTTGGTAATAATTCTATTTAAATTTGGTTGGGTTTATACTCAACTCTTAAGTGCTTTTGTGTACTGAAGGCTAAGAGGGTAATAAAGTTCGAGTGCTGTTAATAGTTCTCGCCATTTTTCTTTGGGCTCCACCTTAATTTTTTGAATGTTATTTTTTTGAACACACACTTTAATTCTAATTCTACTCTTTCCTAATAATTATCAATATTAAGAGATGAGGGTCCAAAAGAAAAAAGGTCTGAGGCAAATAGCAGCACTCTAAATTGTTTCCTTGGTGTCTAATATTTGTCTATTTCCATCTAATTTGTAGGTATATACAAGTAGGGAATGCTGTTGCATTTCCAGTATCCATGGCATTCGGAAGTATGTTGGCAAAGGGAAGCCAAGGAGTCTCAAATAATGAACCCTTGACAACAACTGATCTGAAATTCCCTCTGAGTCTTGCACAATTGTCTGCGTGAATAGCATTGGATTAATTATCCATTCTTAAAGTGAGTTCAATCTTGGCAAAATTCTTTCTTAACAATCTTGTTGAAGAAAATTTTAAACTCACATTGAGTAGTAGACCATTCTTAAAAACCATAAATGGTCATTGTAGCTTGTAATTCAAATTTCCATTTTCTTCTTGTATTATCTTGAAAAATATCTGGTTAAGTACATTGAAAGATATGTAACCTTAAGTTAACTTCTTTTCAATAGAGTCCAGCTTCCTAACATCAATTTTCTATCAAAACTAATGATTTATAGTGCTTTTTTTTTTTTTTTTTTTTGGAGCAAGGCTACGCGGTGCTCAAAGGATAATGATTATTATGAATCGGTGTCTTTTCCCTGAGCAAATGAGGGATTATAGAACAATAAAAAATATATGAAGCCAGACTTATTTTTAGCTTTTTCTTTTGGGCCTAGACCCATTTCTGTTTGCATAAGCAGGGAAGAAAAGGAAAAAAAGAGTACTGGTGGACCGGGCACTGGAAGTGATATTGGGCTGTTTGCGAGGTTCTGCTGTGGGCCCCTTTCTCGATCCATATTTCCTCACATGACCCATCATGCTGATTGATGATTATGGCCCAACCCAAATACTATGGTGGACCTCGGCTTGTCCATGGCAATTTGTTCCCTCTAATGCTGTCAAATGGACTGTTTCGTTCTGGGTCACTTCATCCACAATCTCGAGTGAGTGCTTTTATTTAATATGCATAGTTAAACAAGTACGCTGACTAAAGTTATGTATATTGATTGATCCATCAATGTCTAATTGTGTTCTTGCTGGGAAATTAGGATCTAGTGAGTGTTTATACTTTTATGCATAGTTGAACAAGTAAGGTGACCGACGGAACTTGTTTTGATTGATCTATCATTGCCTAGTTATGTTCTTGACTTCTTGCTGGGGATTAGGATACTTTTCAATATGCTTTCATGTGAATTATGTGGTGATATCGTGGCATTGTGTATATAAAGCATTTTGGCATTTGCACTCTAATAATGCCAATTATATAACATTACTTATTTATTGAGTTCTCTTTGTATGGCCTTGGACTGTCAAAATTTTCCCCGTCTATCATGTTATGTATAGAAAAATCACAGATATTTTAATGCCACATATTATAAAAAAATGTTTCATATTGTGGCTGCCCACTTAATTGTGTTTGTATTATGAAGCTACAATTTTCAAAATTTAGTGTTGAGGTTTGAAAGTTCTGATTTCACATATGATTTTGTCATTAGAAAGCATCTTTAGGTTGGAAGAGAAAATTTAGCTCTTGTTAAAATAATTGGAGTGGGCTCTACCAATAATTAGTTAAATGAATGTAGTAAATTTAAGAGAATACCCCCAAACATGCTAGATAAAGAAAGAACAAACGATGTTAAAAGGCCCAAACATGCTAGGTAAAATTGTAAAACACAAGACTTAAAAGGCTCGTTTAGGGGTCAAAATTGTGAAATGACCAACCAAACCACTGAAGCATGGCACAGACAGCTTGTTTCAAGCCTAAAATAGACTTGTAGGAACAAACAGGACCTCAATTGGATATCCGGTTAAAAAATTAGAAGGAAAATTGTAAAACACAAGACTTAAAAGGCCGTTCGGGGCCGAAATTTCGAAATGACCACCGAAACCACCGAAAACTTGGCATGGACAGCTTTTTCAAGCCTAAATAGATTTGTAGGAAAAACGAGACCTCGATTGGATTTCCGATTAAAAAATTAGAAGGAAAAATGTAAAACAAAAGACTTAAAAGGCTTGTTCGGGGGCCGAAATTTTGAAATGACCACTGAAACCACCGAAACTTGGCACAGACAGCCTTTTCAAGCCTAAATAGACTTGTAGGAACAAATGGGACCTCTATTGGATCTCCGGTTAGAAAATTAGAAGGAAATTGTAAACACAGACTTAAAAGGCCCGTTCGGGGGCCGAAATTGGCGAAATGACCACCAAAACCACCAAACTTGGCACAGACAGCTTGTTCAAACTTAAATAGCCTTGTAGGAACAACCAGGACGTCGATTTGATTTCCGGTTAGAAAATTACAAGAAAAAATGTAAAACACAAGACTTAAAAGGCCCGTTCGGGGGCCGAAAGTGCGAAATGACCACCAAAACCACCAAAACTTTGGCACGGACAGCTTGTTCAAGCCTAATAGACTTGTAGGAACAAATGAGACCTCAATTGGATCTCCGGTTAGAAAATTAGAAAGAAAATTGTAAAAACACAATATTTAAAGGCCCGCTCGGGGGCGGAAATTTCAATGACCACTGAAACCACCGAAACTTAGCATGGATAGCTTGTTCAAGCCTAAATAGATTTGTAGGAACAAACGGGACCTCGATTGGATTTCCGGTCAAAAATTAGAAGGAAAATGTAAAACACAAGACTTAAAAGGCCCATTTGGGAGCCGAAATTTCGAAATGACTGCTGAAACCACCGAAACTTGGCACAGACAGCCTTTTCAAGCCTAATAGACTTGTAGGAACAAACGAGACCTCTATTGGATCTCCGGTTAGAAAATTAGAAGGAAAATTGTAAAGCACAAGAGACTTAAAAGGCCCGTTCGGGGGCTGAAATTGCGAATGACCACCGAAACCACCAAAACTTAGCATGGACAGCTTGTTCATACCTAAATAGACTTGTAGGAACAAACGGGACCTCGATTGGACTTCCGCGCTAGAAAATTACAAGAAAAATGTAAAACACAAGACTTAAAAGGCCCGTTCAAGGGCCGAAATTGCAAAATGACTATTGAAACTAACCGAAACTTGGCATGGCAACTTGTTCAAGCCTAAATAGACTTGTATGAGCAAACAACACCCGAATGGACTTCCCGTTACAAAATTAAAATCAAAATTGTGAAATTCATATCGAGGTTTTTTTTTTTTTTGGTCAATCTAATATTGTTTTTTCTTTTTTCATGTGACAGATTGGCAATGGTGGAAAACAGTTCGGGCTACATCAGAAGATTTGATTTTGTGTTTTTGGAAATATTTTGACATAGGATTTTGGTAAATGATTTACGGATTAAATGTTTAGCATCAAAATATTTGGTTTTGTATTTTTGAAAATATTTTGACATAGGATTTGGTAATGTATTTATGGGTTTGATGTTAGTAGTTTGTAAGTACTTTGGTATGCATGTTTTAGATTGTCAGAAAATTGTAATTGTTTTATTGGGATTTTTCATAGCTATTAATTTTGAATTAGTATGAATGTCTTGCACAAAGTGTATTATTATTTACATTACATTTGTGTATATATTGTGCACAGAAAAACAGGTGTTTTGAATTATTTTAACAGGAAAATTATTAAATTCAAATTTGTGCACTGAATTTTAAGTGACAGGTGATATTTTGGGTCACTGTTAATATATTTGGCGACAACATATTGTTTTTGTCGCTAAAAGTTAGTGGTTATTCCAAGAACTTTTAGCAACCAAAACTTACTCATCGCTAAAAATGTAATTTTTAGCGACCAAATTAATTTTGTTGTTAAATAGTACTTTTGGCAACGCATTTATTTGTCGCTAAAACTACATAGCCTATCCAAATTTTAACCTTTTAGCGACAAATTGTAATTTTATAGCGGCAAAATATATGATTTTTGGTGACCAATTTTGCTTGTCGCTAAATATCGACATGCGGTGACAATTTCTGATTTTGTCGCCAATACTTTTAGTGACAGGGCTTTGGCGACAAATTGTATATTTGTCGACGATTCTTTTGGCGACGAAATTTGTACTTTTGGCGACCAATTTTTGGGTCGCCAAATGTGTTTTTTGTTGTAGTGACTAAAATAATTTGTTCTCTTAAATAATTAGAAAAAAAGAAATCCACAGATCAATGTTACAATAATAGATCCTAATGTTCGGAAAACCAAATTCAAGTATAAATTGAAACCAAACAATACGAGTTCCAAGCAAACAAACTGAAGAAACACAATCTCTCGAATCAATGTCATGCCAAAACAAACAAAAAGAAATCTGAACTGTGAGAAGCGAAAAAAGCATAAAAAAATGACGATTGTTCGTCTAAATTTCTCAATTGTAAATTTACAAGAAATGAACTAAAAATGAATGAATCGAAGACATAAAAACATCATCGATTTCATGTAAATTTTAGCTCAAATGAATAATCAATTAATCGATCAAACCTGTGATTGAAATTGCTGAAATAGCTGTCGAGAGAGATCAGATTAGGGATTGAAACTATCGGGGATTGAATCCACAAACCACTGATCAAAGTCTCTGAGAGCAGGGATGAAATCAACAATGAAATTAGGAATGAGAGAGAGAGAGAGAGAGAGAGAGAGAGGTGTGGAGAGGAAAAGGTGTAGCAACAAGTTTGGATGTCGAAGATGAAAGGCTCTTGGAGCCATGGGATGAGGGTTTGAGAGAGAGAGAGAGAGAGATGTGAATAAGAACGAATTAGATAGGGCTTTGTTTCAAAAGGAAAAGGCAAAGCAGATTAATGGGTAAATTGCAAACATACTCTCTGCTTAATCGGCGACCAAATTTTTTTGTCGCAAAAAAAATTTAATTCCCGCCTCTATGTTTCAAATTTCCCTCCCAAACTTTTGGCGACCAAAAGGCCAGATTAGTCGCAAAAAAGGTACCTTCGCTGACAAACTTTTTTAGTCGCCAAATCTCAATCAACGGCGACTAAAATATTAGTCGCTAAAAGTACTAATTTGGCGACTAATTTTTTTTGGTTGATGAAAATAAGTTTATGGCGACCAAATTTTTGGTCGCCAAAGAAATTTTTTTTTTTTTTATTTTTCATTCGGCGACTAAATTGTTTTAGTACCCAAAACTCAATATACGACAACTAAAATATTTTTGGTCGGGAAAAATAAGTTTTTGGCAACTAAAATTTTGGTCGCCAATTCCACAACCAACTTATTTTTGATCTTCCACGACCAACTTATTTTTTGGTTGCCAAAATGTGACCATCCGCGATCAAATTTGTAGTTGGTTGCCAAAAGCGTACCACTTTCTGCGACCAACTTATTTTTTGGTCGCCAAAATATGACCTTCTGCGACCAACTCATATTTGGTCACTAAAAATAATGATTATTCACGATTAATTAATATTTGGTCGCCAAAAGGTAACTTTTAGCTACCAACTTTTATATTGGTCGCGAAAAGTGATCGCTAAAAGTGCAGATTCTTGTATTGTATGTAAAATCATTTACCAGAACATTGTGACCATAACATTATTTATATTAAGAAATAACTCGGTGGACTTTTTGTTTACAAATGATACGTTTACAATTTTGATACATCATTATATATATATATATATTAGTGAGTGACACACATAATATATGTACAATTCAAATAAGTAAGAATAAAAATAAATAATAAATAAATTAATATTATAATATGTATATTATCTAAGTAGTAAGAATGTTCTTAA